ACCGTGACTTTTCACCACGTCTCTCTGTGGCGGCGCACGGTGCTGGGTGACGGGGTTGGCCCGGATCTCACGGGGGCAGGAGAAGACCCAGCTGCCATCTTTGGGGGAGTAGACCCATTGCCCTGGCCATGGGGCAGGTCTGATAGGCCCACCATGGGGAAGATCTGTTAGCCCCATCATGGGGAAGACCTGATGGTCCCACCATGGGGAAGTTCTGATGGTCCCAAAATGGGGAAGATCTGATGGTCCCACCATAGGGAAGTTCTGATGGTCCTACCATGGGGAAGTTCTGATGGCCCCACCATGGGGAAGACCTGATGGTCCCACCATGGGGAAGACCTGTTGACCTAACTGCGGGGGGGGAGACCTCTTGACCTCACCGTGGGGCAGATCTGTTGGCCCCACCATGGGGCAGGTCTGATGGTCCCACTGTAGGGAAGATCTGATGGTCCCACCATGGGGTAGCCCACCATGGGGCAGACCTCTTGACCTCACCATGGGGTAGACCTGTTGACCCCACTGCAGTAGACCTGTGGACCCCACCATGGGGCAGAACTGATGGTCCCACCATGGGGTAGCCCACCATGGGGCAGACCTCTTGACCTCACCATGGGGTAGACCTGTTGACCTTGCCGTGGGGCAGGTCTGATGGCCCCACCATGGGGCAGACCTGTTGGCCATGGTGGGGGCGGTCACCCAGGACTCTTGGCACCATCACAGAGGGGGCCAAAAGTCCAGCTTGGGGTCCCCCCTCCCCATTCCAAGAGCACCCAAACCCTTGCAGTGCCCCCAGGTGGGGGGGAGGGGGGGAAACCCTCCTTCATGGTTCTTCCAGCCCAGCCCCATCTCCATGGGCCAACGGGTGCCCAGGGGAGAACTTCCCAACCCCAGAGGGGGGAATTTGCCCCATGACTCAACAGGAGCATAAGGGGCCACCACATTGGCTCATGAGCCAGAAGAAATCATCTGCTGGAGGCCAAATTTACCTGAGGTTCGTGGGGGGAGGGGGGGAGGTGGATTTTCCCCCTTCCATGGTGGTCATCGTGGTCCCATCTCTGTGGGGTGGGGTGGGACAGAGGCCCGGAGTCACCACAGCGGCTCTAGGGACCGTGACGGCAGGGTTGGTGCCACCTCCATGGCTTCCTCGGTGTGAAAGGAGTCCTGGCAAGGTCAAAACGTCACGTGGCGTCCCCCGTGGCGTGGCCGGGGCAGGGAACGCCGCCGGTGGCCTTGCGCAAGGTGTCACCCTTCCTCTTCCCCCACGTGGCTGAGGCCCGGCGTGGTGGAGGGTGTGGGCCTTGTCTGGCCGCCACCGTGGGGAAAGAGGCTTTGGGTTGGCTCCAAATCTCCAGGGAGGTGGAGAAGCGCTTGGCTGTCGCTCCCAGGGCCACCGGTGGCCACCAGTGGCTTCCAGCTCTCGCTGGGAAGGTCTGACCACCTTTCAGCGTCACGTGAAGGAGGTTTAGCTTGGAGGGTCCCATGTCGGTGGCCCAGCAGCTGTGGTGGGCTGGGCAAGGCACCTATTGGGATCTTATCAACGTGGTCATGGAGGTCTGGTCAAGTTGTCCGTGGAGGTCTGGTCAAGGTGGTCATGGAGGTCTGGTCAAAGTGTCTGTAGAAGTCTTGTCAAGGTGTCCATGGAGGTCTCATCAAGGTGGCTGTGGAGATCTGGTCAAGGTGTCCATGGCGGTCTGGTCAACATGATCATGGAGGTCTGGTCAAGGTGTCCATGGAGGTCTGGTCAACATGGGCACTGGGCTCTATCAAGCTGTTGATGAAGGCACAGTCAAGGCATCCATTGGGGTCTACCTAATGTCTGTGGAGGTCTAATGAGGTC